TTGCTAGCGGCGCTGCCGTGGACGTCGAGGCGCTGCCGCCGGCACATGCAACTCATTTGGAGCTAAGCGAACAGGAGATTAGTCCGCGCTCCAACAAGCTGGCCTCCTCCTCGACTGGCAGCTTGGGCGTCGGCATGGGCGTGAGCAACATCATAACCACGCCCGGCGACTATCCACGCAAGACCAAGGGACCGATTTGCCTCATGGCCAGTGAATCCTCGTCAGCTAGCACGAGTGCCGGAACAGCTGTGGCTACGACTACCGCAGCTGCAGCAGCGCAGCTAACGCCGCGCAAACCGCGCATCGAGATCTATAGGAAGGTCATAATTGTGGACGATTCGGGGGTGAGTGAGGCAGACCATGAATAACTTTACTCAATCCCAGAACTGAGAAATGGACTTGAATGGGAACTTGTTCCATAACTCCACTTAGTGTAATTTTGATGAACCAGTTCATCACATTCTGTTTGATGAGCTAGTTCACTGAGTTCATTTAGTTCTCGATCGATTCAGTACACAATTCGCTTCCATCCACCATTTATTTTGGAATACCTGACTAATGAGCTGATTCTCTGTCCCCCCTCTGATAGATCTATGACTGCCTGGATATTATAGACGCCGTCGTGTGGCCCACCGATCATATGCGCGCAAATGGCGGTCGTCTTAGCTGGAAGGACTGGGAGCCGAGCACCGGCATGGTGGGTCATGTGGTCCATGTGTGGGTGCCCAATCACAAGGAGGAACTGTTCCGCTCCCATGTCAATCGCTGTGTCTATCTGATCGAGATTGGGGAGCACTACGTGCCCGTGGAGGAGTTGGGCTTGCGCGAATATAACCAAATCTTGGGCAGCAGCACTGAGGAGGTGGCCACGTCCAGGCGCAGCTCCGTCCAACTGGACTTTAATGAGTACTCAAGGCAGGTGATGCTGGCCAGGCAAACGACAGCGACAACGACGTCGGCGTCGGCGTCGGCGTCGACGTCGTCGTCCAACAAGCTTCAGCACAAGCCACAAATTCGAGCTGTGAGCAGCAGCAGCAGCGAGGACGAGGATGAGATTATGGTGGACAATGGTCCAGCTGCTGCAAGTGGATCTACAGCTACGTCTTCAGCTGCAGCCGCAGCTGTAGCTGCATCTGGAGCTAGTGGAGATGCCTTGACTCTACCACCTGGCGTTAATTTTAATACGCTACTCAACATGTGGAAACTGATTGCTGATAAGAAGAAGCAGGCGATCAATATAGACACGACGGAACCGTTTGCTGCCATCGATTATACGGGTGAGCTGCCGCCGGATCTGATGCGTCAGCTGGAGGAGAGTCGCATGGCCAAGCAGCAACTGCTTGAGGAGCAGCAGGAAGAGGAGTTGCGCAAGCATTTGCAGAAGCTGGAGGATGAGGCGAATGCCTTGGCTGCCGAGCAAGCGCTGCATCCCATTACGGTAGAGACGCCCCCATCCAACGATGAGGAGCTATCGCTGGAGGTGAGTGGAACGCCGACGCCTATGAGCACTGGCTCAGTAACGACGCCAACACCACCAGCGGAGGAAGAGCCAGAGGAGAAGCAGGAGCAGCAGCCGGAGCAGCATGAGGAGGGTCAGCGAGTGCCGGAGGAGAAGCAGGACGAGATAGCAGAGCAACCAGCTGGAGAAGAACAGCAAGCTGAGTTGGATAAAGGTGAGCCCAAGGCACAGACTCACCTGGTCGGCGAACAGCTGGAAGCAGAACGTGGAGAAGAAGAAGAAGAAGACGGCGATTACGGCGTTACTTGCTAAACAAGAGCAGTACGAATCAGTCTAGAAGAAGTAGAAGGTGATTCCTTCAGAAGGAGGCGAGGGGTCAGAGGCAGCGACAGAGAAGGAAAAGGAGAAGGAGAGGAAAAAGCAGAGATATACAACGAAGCCGCTTGCTGCAAGTGGCCTGGGAGCAGCAGCAGAGCCCAGCAGGAGGAGGATTTGGTAGAGGCTGAGCAAGTCGTCAGGAGCAGCACTAGGCCAGTGAAAAGTCTAAAGCGCAAACAGACAGTGACAGCAACAACACACACACACACACATACATGCACACACTGTGCATGTGCCTGTGCCTGTGTGTGCAAATATCATATAAAGAAAAAGAACAAATTCAAGACGAAACAAATGAAACAAACAACAAAGCAAAAATACTTCCAAAATGTTATCAAACTAAACTTAAAAAACCCAAGAAAAAAAAAAAAAAAAAAAAAAAAAAAAGAAACGAATGACTGCAAAATGGATAAATGTAAATAACATATAAACATATATATATTTATATATATATCTACTATAGAAAACTATATATATAATATATACTATATACACCATATACGCTATATAGAAATTTGTTAAACTTATGCTTGTATATAGCAAAAAAGAATGAAAGATAAGAGAAAAGTAAACTCAGAAAACGTTAGATTTTTCACTCACAATTGTAGACTAAACTAAAACTAAAAAAAAAACTATTAACAGAATTATATACATATATATATATAGCGAAAGTTTACCATATGTATATTAACTATATAATACCTTCATATGTATATCGTGAAATACATATATATATATATATATATATATATATATATATATATATATATATATATATATATATATATATATATATATATATATATATTATTTAACAAAAATTAAATTTTTTGCGTTAGTATTAAAAAAGGGAAAATTTTTATCGAAAATAAATTATACATAAAAATATTGTAAAATGTATGAGGAAACAAAACAAACTCAACCAAAATGCTTTTCATTAATTTTACTAAAAAAAAAAAAATAAAAATAAAAATATGTTTTTGTTTTTTAAAATATTTTTACTCTTAACTAATTTTTAAACTATATCAATTGCTTATCTAGCCAATACAAAAATTGTTAAGTAAGAAGAGTTCATATATAAAGAATTTATATATATTGAAACAAAAAAAAAAAAAAAAAAACTAAACATACCAAAATTTTGTAAAAAAGGAAATATAAAAACCGATATGCATATTTAAATGAATATATTAATGTACAAGTATTCAACTAAAACAACAACATATATAATACATATAGTTATAAATCTAAATAAATTACGAAAAAAAAAGTCTAGAGACAAAAAAGTTTAATGAATGAAAGATAAGTTTATATATATATATATATTACATATATGTATGTATATATAAATCTATATTGATATATTGAGCGTGTTATACATAGTATGTTGAATGAATATGAATATGCAAAGCTCTCACGTTGCCTTAATACATTAGACTGATTTTTTCTACACACACACACGCACACACACACAGAAAACACATACATTCACCTGACATGCATCGTATATATATGTGTATTTATATATATATTATGTATATATATATATATATTAATATACATATAAAGATATATACATATTAAATAAATTAAATTTAAAAAAGTTAATAAAAACAATTCAGTTCATGTAAAAAATAAAATAAATAAATTTGACGGTTGCGAGTATTTAATTAGCTAAAAGAAAAACAAAATTTATATACATAAAATAATAATTACATTAAAAATAATGTAATAAAAAAAAAAAAAAAAAAAAAAAACCCTGTAAAATATGAAGAATTTCAAAATACACGAAAAATGTCCAAATAAATTTTCCAAATACAAAAAAGAAACAAAACCTAAAACATGTAAAGTTAAAAATAAAAAAATTAAAACCTTAATGTTTAAATGTTTCAGCCAATGCATATGTACAGTTATTCAAATTCACAGATAAATGAAAACAATTAGCCAAACCTAAATCAAAAAAATATTAAAATGAAATGTAAAATTATTAGATATATAAAAACACACTGGTACAACACAGGCAATTCTAATATATACATATATATTGCATTCGTATATCTAACGAACCTTAGAATATATTTTCAAGTCCATATTCCTTTGCGAAACTGTTTTCATTTTTATCTCCTGAATTTTAGAGGGTTTTAGTTCCATTTATAAAAGAAAACAAATTTAAATGTTTATTATATATATATATATATTTCAAAGGTATATATAAACCATTTCAAAATACAAATAAAACAAACTTGAAAATTGTTATACAAAATACGATTGAATAATGTTTTCTTTAGGCGGGCATAAAGCATATACATACGTGTTTATTTTTTGTACAGCTTATACAGATTATTATTGGTCATAACAGTCCTTAAATATAACAGTCATTAAATGCTAAACAAACTAGATTAACTATAGTAGGTATATGTATCACATGGTATTCCCTGAGCCCCTGGAAATAGGCCAAAGCAATGATAGCACCCATAATGCGTGTATCAGATTGCTCAGAAAAAGCTCCGTTATCCAGCCGAATGCGTCTGGGTTTGCTACACAGTTAGGTACTCTCGACAAAAGCACTTATCAAGAAACATATCAAATTCCATAATCTATAACAAGTGTTAAGCTAGTATTACATTATTTAAATTCTAACTTAAATAGTTTTCTCTTTAATAATATAAGAGTTTAGCATATATTATCCTAATTACCATATACAGTGAAATGTTTTAAGTTCTATTAAATATTCCAATTAAAATAGTTGTTTTGCGATTAACATATCAGTTTATTATATATGATTTATATTATTATTACAATTATCTGGATATTATTATATATATAATTACTAATATAATTATATGACTATTATTATTATTACAGTTATCATTATTATTATGTCATTATTATTATGATTTGTATTATTATTACAATTATCTGAATATTATATATATAATTATTAATATAATTATATGACATTATTACAATTATCATTATTATGCTTTTTAATATTATTACAATTATTTGGATATTATATATATAATTATTAATATAATTATATGACTATTATTATTATTACAATTATCATTATTACAATTATCATTATCATTATGATTTGTATTATTATTATAATTATCTGAATATTATTATATATATAATTATTAATATAATTATATGACTATTATTATTATTACAGTTATCATTGTTATTATGTCTGCAATTATAAATATTATCACAATTGTGTTATTTTTTGCTCATTCAGCTGCATACAATGATGCATTCTAACATTATATTGAATACGGGATATGAGAATATTTTTGAAATTTATGTGCTATCTTCAACCTTTTCCATCGGTGGCCAAATTGTGTTATTTTTTGCTCATTCAGCTGCATACAATGATGCATTCTAACATTATATTGAATACGGGATATGAGAATATTTTTGAAATTTATGTGCTATCTTCAACCTTTTCCATCGGTGGCCAAATTTTAGTCAATTCGCTGATAGATACGTCGTAAAGGAGCTGATGATATTCATCCAAAAGGACTGAAAGATAAGCAAATATTTAATATTGCATACAGAATATAGGCAGATGTATGAATATGTCTTACAATCGGTTTGGACCTTCCATTGGTCAAAGAGTGATTCGCGCGAGTCGATTTGTTTATTTATCAAAGCACGCTTGAAGCGCAGCACTTTGTCATTCAGATCCGACCAGCTCTTGATGAGCGAAGAGGGCGACGACTTCAATTTCGGCTTAAAGGCAGCCAGAGCAGGGCAAACCAATCCGTCCAGTAGGTACATTCCAAAGTAACTAAAATAGAGAGTGAGAGAGCAAAATGGGCGAGAGAGAAAGAAAGAACTCTCATAAATATATGGCAAGAGGTGTGACCCAACCAGACAATGTATGTCTGATCACGATAAATAGCTAATACTATCTAGAATATAAATATGTTCAACCTACCAGCACGCCTTCTTGCTGCGTGGCATTCGTAGCTCGTGCAGAGGCAGCACCCAGCCTGCTTTGCCGAATGTCACCTTTGCAAAGCAGAAGATGCGACCATTGTCTTCATCATAGCGAGGTGGTGGATCCTCGAACACCTCGTGTACATTGCATAGGAGCGGCACATAGGTCAGCAGCCATTCCGGCTCAATGGCCGTAATGCCACTTAGGTACATCTTGGTGCCTTCGCCATGCTGTAGCTCAAATGCTTCCTGATATACGATCCAGTCAGGTATTGCTGGCTTCAGCACCGAAGAAGAGTGCAGAAATGCCGGCTCCTCCATATCGGCACAGTTGTAGGCATATTTAAGCCGGCGTCGCTCCTCCTTGTCGCTAATCTCATCCAGCGGCACTTTGCGCGCCACTCTATCGCCCATTCCCGCAAGCAGGATTTGACGCATGGCTCGGGCTTGTTCCTTAGATGGAGGACGCAATTTCGGATCAATGCACAGATTTATATCCGGTATGAGCAGATTGATGTCGTTGGTCAACTGACGACGTAGCTTGCGCACCTCTTCAATGGCGTTTACGCGGATTCCGTTGAGGAGACAGAACTTACCTCCTCGTGAGTTGATTTCGAGATGTTCAACGGTACACACAGCACGCATCAGCATCATCGGATCACCCAGCATATAGAATTCTCCGGTTTGTAATTTGCAGTATCCGTCCCTTACACTCATCGGCATGGGCTGTACATCGTCCGGTTTAATGTCACGCGGTGGGATGAACACCTCCGGCACTGATAAAGCTGCAACCATACAAACTGTGTAGGGCATCAGGTCGAATTGAGTGGATAATGCAAGGATTTTGCCGAAGCGTGCGGCCACTGGAAAGCAAGCGATAGTTTCGCCCAGAGGAGTAACACGTGGCGGAATAGTCCCCTCAGACCCATCTGTTTTCGATTGCTCTAAGGCGCCCAGCACTAGCAAACGCTGTTCGGCCGCCTTCAGCTGCGCTAGATCAGGCGGCGATGGAAACGGAAAATTCATGATACGATCGATGCCCATGCTGCGCATTTGCAACATCACATCATCAACAGGCTTTTGCAAGATATCTGGAGGGTTAAACTCCGGAAAGACGTCATTGTACAGTGCACTCGAATAGAGGCGATAACAATGCCCAGCACTTATGCGACCAGCGCGTCCAGCTCGCTGATCAGCGGATGCTTTCGATGTGTCCGTCACTATAAATGTGCTGACTCCAGTTATCTTGTCGTAAAGCCGTGTCTTCTGTTTGCCACAATCCACAACATACTTGATATGCGGTATGGTCAGAGACGTCTCCGCTAGGTTGGTGGCCACCACACAGAAGCGGCAGCCGTCAGGCGCTGGCTGGAAGATGCGTTGCTGCTCCTCCGTCGGCAGCAGCGAGTACAATGGCAGCACCCACATGGGCTGATTGGATGTTGAGCTCTGTAGGTTAGCCATATTATAAGTGTCCTGTTGCTGCTTCTCATCGCCACACTCATCATCATCCTCATAACTCTTATCCGGGGGCGGCATATATGATGGGTCATACATATCTGCATCATCTGTATCATCGCTTGGCAGCTTAGCATCCTTCTTATTGATCTTAGGCAATAAATCATTTGAAAAGTATTTCTCCTTCCTTGTATCGAATTCCTCGTCCAGCTCTTCCTCCTCGCCTGGCAGCTTATAGTCATCCAAATTGACCTTAGGCAATGGAGGGATTTCATACTTCTTTCTACGTAAACGACGTGCTACGCGCACCCTACCGAGTTTCTTCCCTTCGCAATTCTCCCCACTTCTCTCGGCCAGGTGCACATGTAGCTTCTGCTTTGTCTCCAAGTCATTTTCGTCTACCACGTACGGAAAGGCCTGACGCAATTTGAACACTAGTCGCATCACCTCGCGCTGCCCTGTTACAAAGATCAAGATGCCGCCCTCCGGCAGGTTTGCGTGAATTTTCACGGTTTTCCTAAAGGCTTCCTCTACATAATCGCTGGGACAGCGCTTCTGGAAGTGAATGGTCACGGGATACTGCCTGGCCTCCACTTTGATCACTGGCGGCGGCACTTTAAACAAGTGAGCGTTCTCCGTGAAATCAGTGATACGCAGCGTGGCCGACATGATGATCAGCTTTAGTTCATTCGAGCGTTTGTTGCGCAAAGGCACAATGCGCGACAATAATCCAATCAATATATCAGTGTTGCTGGTACGCTCGTGGGCCTCGTCGAGCACAATCACGGAATACTTGCTTAGCAGAAAATCGGTTTCAATCTCTTTCAGAAGAATGCCGTCCGTCATAAACTTAATTTTGGTGTCTGGGGTCACGTTGCCCTCGAAGCGCACTAGATAGGATACCTCGCTGCTGGGCAAGTTCATTTCGTGGGCCACACGCTGCGACATCGATATGGCAGCCACGCGACGTGGTTCGGTGATGCCAATCATTTTATCCAAGGCATACCCGGCCTCGTACAAAAATTGCGGTATTTGGGTTGTTTTGCCGGACCCAGTTTCACCAGAAATTATAACAATGGGATTCTCATTGATCAGCTCCATCACCTGCTGTTCCTCGGCCAGTATGGGTAAACGGAGGCGAGCCTCCTGCACCTCAGCTGTGCGATTGACTGGCACGTAGACTGTCTTGTGAACAGATGTTGGTGTTCCGGCAGAAGCGGGAGATGCTTTGCCGTCGGCTTTACGAATAGTCATTGTTGATGGATTAGCTAGCTGCATTGCGAGAGCAACTTGCTCATTTGTAGCTGGTGGCTGTTGTTCGCCTTTAGCTGTCAGATCAGTCTGATTTTTCTTCATCTCCTTTTTTTCCTCGCCACTGTCTACTTCCTCTTTCTCTTCCTCTCCGTTACCGTCTTCGTCATTATCATCTTCTGATTCTTCTGCATTAGAAGACTGTTCTTTGTCAGTCTGATTTTCCTCCATCTTCTCGTTTACTTCGTCATTGTCATTGGCGGAATCCTCCTCCTCGCTACTATCCTCTGATTCCTCTGCATTAACTATATTCGGATTAATGCGCTTGGCTTCAATCTCTTCTTGCTCCTCTACAAGCAGCTTACGCTTGCCGCCTTTGAGCGCATTAACACGTTGGGCGCCGCCCTTGCTCTGTTCGTTTTCCATTTTTTGTTGAGATTGACGCTCCTTTTTCTTGTCCAGTATTTCGTCGATCTTGTGCAGGCGTTTTAGCCCCACCGTTTGGACTTGGCTTATTGATGTGTACTGATTTAGTTCGGTCTCCGGAATTTGTACAGCACCCAGATCTTTCAGCAATTGCTCGCGCTATAACGGAGAAATCAACTTACAAATTAGTGACTTCTGAATAAATGCAGCTCACAAGTCGGTCCAATTATTTTGACGAAATCGTTTTGTGACTATTGAAATACCACTAAATAAATAAGCAAATTAAAGAATCTTTTTATAGCTCTATGAATGCCGAAAATATTCTATTTATCTTTTTCAATTTTTTTTTCTGCTGAGATGAAAGTATGCAAGCATCGAATTTTAGCTTGGCATATGAATTTTCAGGAAAACTGTCGACTGTCTTTTCAGTTTTGAGCATTTGACAACCCAACTGACATTAGTAACTGACATTACTAACTGACATTAGGTATCGATAACAAAAAAAAAAAAAAAAAAAAAAAAAAAAAAAAACACCAGATCCAAGGAGCCGTTTTATGGACAGACAAAAGCTTCTTTGAGTAAAACTCAAATTGAAAACTAACTTTTGTTGCTAGAATGCAAACTGCCCGTACAGAAAAAATTATTAAATTATTGACTCTGAAGTAAGGTTTGATTATTCCTTCCGAGGATAGGCATATAGGGAAATCATAATTCCTGTAGCCTTTAATTTTCTTTAGGATGTTGGTATTAAATGCATTATTAAAAGACAACTTAATATGTATGTATATATATGGACATTTCTCTAGAAAGTTCAACCGCAGCCAAAACATTCAAAGTCAATGAAAGCATGTTCTGCTAAGATATGCTTTATAACTAATCCATCATATTTAACTAATATAAACAAGTTTTACATTTTATCATAATACATCTCGAAATATTGAGACACAAAGCCGAATAAGTGCAAAAGTTCTGTTTAGAGCATTTCTATTGCACTTTTTGAATTTTCTCTATTTTATTATAATTAATAATAAAATCAAAATATTGAAACTTATTTCAAATGCTTTTATTCATGTAAAATTACGAAAAAAAAAAAAAAAAAAAAAAATTGTGAAAAAATGTCTCATTGGACACGTCACTTTCGACCCTGATTAAAACTAAAAAATAAAAAAATCACTCAATATTTTTGAATAAAATAAAATGCATTTAAAATTATTCATAATAAACTGTCACTTAAGGTTTCACTAAAATCTCAGGTTGAACTGTTTATTTAAAATGCGACTTACGTTTTTTGTAGCCTGCGAACCTCTTGTTTTTTTTGTGATTATCTTGAAAACTAATATTTGCCTAAAATCAGATTTAGCACCAATTATAGAGCTAATCAAGAGCTAAAGGATTCACTATTCGTCAAAATAAAAAAAATATTTTGGCATTCGTTTTTTTTTTTTTTTTTTTTTTTTTTTTTTTTAACTCAAAAACGTACGAATGTCACATTCGCCACTAGAGAATTGCCCATATGTATAAAGGAGAAAGAAATTAAAAGTATACGCCGAAAATACACGGAAATATTTTCGTCAAAATAATTATATGGATTAGTTTACTTTACTTACACCTTCTCGCTTTTTTTTCTTGTCCACTATGGCCTGTAAATTCTTCCGTTGCTTCTTTGTTAGAATTTTCACAACTTTATGTTCTTTTTCTACAATTTTTGTTGCCCGTTTCTTTGAAGGCAAAGCTAAAGCATTTGCCTCGTCGTAGCCAGTGGGAATGGATTCGTTGCCCTGGACCACATCCTCGCCTTCGATTTGAATCTGCATCCGAATATATTGGTTGAATTCATTGCGGGGATAGCTGGTTTCAACCATACTTACATCTTTAGCCGTTGAATTATCAATTATCGTTTGCGGATTTTTCCGGCCTTTTTTATTAAATTTTGTTTTACCCATTTTAAGATATTTAGAGCAGCTAACTCCTCTCACATCTGTCACAAAACAAATTCTCATGCACGTGCTGACACTGTCAGAGATGTGATGTTGTGATTTGATAAATTATCGATTACATTAAGGAACAATAAAAAATCGGTTGTAAAACAATTTTGGTATTTAGTGCTCTTAGAGATGTGCTCTGATCTGGGCTCAAAAAAATCGCCAAATATGGCTAGAAAATTAATAATTGAGAGAGACGTGCGTATTGAAATTATCGCACAATGAAAATTTTTCGAATCTAAGTTGTTTTGTTTTGCTATTGTCGCAAACGCTTTTATATTTAAATGTCAACAACATATTTTATTGAGAGTCTATAATTAGCAATCATTTAGATATATGAACATTTAACACGTACAATTTAACGTAACGACTTGCAGAGAAATATCGCTAGATGTGTGAAAATTTTGAACCGTCTGGCAGCTCTGTCAGCACTAAAAGAGAGCGCGAACGAGAGACGAACCGTGGGAGAATGCTCAGCAATTGGCAAGCCCGCGTAGCAAAAAAAAAGCCTTGTGTGTTTTGTTGTTTTCATTTTGTATGTGGTGTAGCATATTACTGTTCAGTAAAACCGTTAATTTTTGTTTTTAGCATACATATATATTTACAAAAACAAATGCGATGACGAGTAAAACCGATCCAGTGCGCATTGTGCTGGCAAATTTAATTGCCGAATCGCAGTAAGTGCAGAATGCTGAACAGATGCGCAGCTCATATATTTCTTTTGTTTTTTTTTTGTGTTTTTGTTTTGTTTTGAATAAATTGAATAAATTGTAACGAAATTATTTGCGTAGAACGCCATATACGCCGGACAAGATACTCCGGGAATTTCGTGCCACAGTTGACAAGCGCCTCTCAGATAGAGAGCTACTCTTCCTGCTCGAGTCCATCAGTTCAAAGCGTCCCAATTGTCGAGAGGTGCTCGATGAGATAAGCGACACACTTGAAAGGTTCGTATAGACACACTGACATAAAATGAATTAGTTCCTTGTCATCTACTGTTTTTCCCCTTGTGTGCGTGCTCCTTAATTATTTTTATTATTTTTGTTTAGCAAGGATCCTATGTACGCTTTGCTGGTCTTTGCGGAACGAATAAACGACGAAACAATGTGGCAGTCAAAATACAGCGGAGGCAACAACTCGAATCTCAACTCCAATAAAAATCCCGAAATATCAGCGCCGTTGCATGACTCGGAGCTGGGCAGTAAGTGTGTACGGAAATCCTTGGATTTGTCCACATCAACGCCAGTTAGCCGACGCTTGCCCGAGGATACCCCAGCACTGTCCACCATCAATGCAACAAGTGCACCCACTACATATACGCGTCGTGCCATACCTAATGCGCTCAATGCAAAAGACCACTTCGCACAGCGTGGAGATCTAAGTGTGGTGGGTGCCATAAAGCTAACTGTATTTGTCTAGCATTAGTTACCTCTTCCTTGTATGTAGATCAAGAAACGTGTGCTGAATGCTGTTTCGAACAGCTCAGCCTTGACGGGTACCATCGATCAGTTGCTCAATAGCAGCAACAGCAACAAACTGAAAGCGCAAAACTTAGCAGCAGCGGGAGCAGGAGTTGGCGTTGCTGTTGGTATTGGTGCTCGCGGAGCATCAGGTGCTGCCAGTCGAACTGTGAATGTGGAATCGAGTCCGGGAGCCAAGAGTCCCAAGGCCACTCATCACTCTGGTATTACCATTGCCAACAGCTCTGGAACAATCACCGGCGCAGGCACTGGCCCAGGCACCGCCATTACCGCAGTCACCGGCACTGGCATCATCACTGGAACCAGCACGGCCACCAACAATGGAGCAGCCAACAACAACCGTGCGCTTAGTACCTTGCCGCCAACCGGCTACCGATCGCTACTCGAACGCACTCAGCAGAGCACCAACAGCAAAAGCGCCGGTAACAACAAGGATGTTAGTGAACCGAAGGATGGCTTGTTGGATGAATATCGCACACATTTGCTATGGGATTACTATAGAGTGGACACACCAAATGGCACATCACAGCCGGAGCTGACAGCGTTGCCATTTGATGCACAGCAGCGTGTTCTGCTCACCGAAATCCTATACTGTTTGAGTGGAGTGCGAGGCACATATATACTAATAATGCCCAATGATGAGCAGGCGAAGGGTTTGGCCAAGTACGAGACACAGTTTAGTCTGCATGTGCAAGTGGATAAATCGCTGGTCGAGATGGTGAACGAAATATTGCCATTGGCATCATACTTTATGGGCATTCAAAAGGTCATCGCACTGACGGACGGACATGGCCAGGTCAACAATGCCCTCAATGCGGCCTTGCACGTCATTAGCCATGACTTCTATGTGAGTTCGATTGCTCCTAGCCCATCAGAATTGTAAGTTTTAACTATTCGAATTGCCTCTCTTGCAGATGCTGCTGCAGCAGGCCGAGATGGAGCTCTTGAAGAATGATCTGACAGTGGCCAAGCTGCTGTACTATCTGCAACCCACCATTTGGGTCATAGGCGAGATTTGGACAACTCTGGCTGAAGTGGATATGGTAACTCATTGCAAGCTCACACATGATGTACAGATAATTAAGTCAATCTCACGTTGTTTAGAATAATTACCATGGCGCTGCTGTCCTAACTCATCTCTGCGATCGCATCAAGCAACTGGAGGGCGACAAGTGTGCCCAGGAATTGATCATTGGGCTGGCTCGGAAGGCTGCAGAGCCGTATATGCGCATGCTGCAGCTGTGGATACAGAAGGGCATCATCGTTGATAGCACACACGAATTTCTGGTCGAGGACAATGAAGTCATCCACAAGGATGAACTGCCCGAGCACTATTCGGATGACTACTGGGAGAAGCGCTACACAGTTTGCTCTGAATGTATTCCATCATTCCTCGAGAAGCATGCCGACAGAATATTGCGCACGGGCAAATATTTAAATGTGATCAGACAGTGTGGCCAGCGCGTGATGCCCACGCAGCAAATGAATCTTGAATTTGACCCAACCAATGAGCGGCACGTCATTGTGATCAATGATGCGTATTATTTCGCGGCACGCATGTTGCTCGATGTGCTGCTAACCGAGAACGATCTGATGGGACATCTGCAATCAGTGAAGCGTTATCTGTTGCTCAATCAAGGCGATTTCACCATGCAGTTCATGGATGCCTGCGAGGATGAGCTGGCCAAGAATGTGGATCTAGTGCTGCCCATGACCCTGGAGAATTTGTTGGGTCTGACCTTGCGGCTCTCGTCTGCACGCAGCGATCCTTATAAGGATGACCTGCACTGCGAGCTCCTCACATACGATCTGGTCACACAAATGTCCAAGATTATGAATCAGCAGGAGGGTAAGTAATAGTGGCTCAATTTAAGGATACTTTTAGTGAGTAACTGCAACAACTGCAACGACATTGACTCGCTTAGCCATCCTGCCCATCGCCTATTAATTTATTCTATGTTTCAGAGTACTGGAAGACGACAGATCGCCTCGACTTGAGCGGCTTGGAGTGCTTTGCCTTCACGTACGAGGTGAAATGGCCAGTTTCTCTGGTGCTCAATCACATAGCCATAACAAAGTATCAAATGCTCTTCCGCCAACTCTTCTACTGCAAACATGTAGAGCGTCAGCTGTGCAAGTGAGTAACTGATATACGTATATACATGTATATATATTCATATTCACTCCATTATTGCAGAATTTGGAAAGAGAATTCCATAGCCAAGAAGTTCTCGCCGCTAGCTGCGGAGCTCTATCGCTCGGCCTTTACGCTGAGGCAGCGCATGATGAACGCCGTTCAGAATCTGGAATACTACATGATGATCGAGATCATTGAGCCCAATTGGCATATATTTATTGAGAAGATGAAGAAAGTGGAGAATGTGGATATGGTGCTCAGTCTTCACCAGGACTTCCTCGATCTGTGCCTTAAGAATTGCATGTTAACTGAGACATCGCATCTGAATCGTGCCATATTCAAATTATGCAAGATCTGTCTTAAGTTCTGCGAATTCATACAGGTAACACGACTATAGAGAACTTATGCCTATATATATACATATACTATATACCAAGTTAGAGCTTAATCGAATGTCTTGTCTTGTGCCTTGTATACCTTTATTTCTCTTTCTCTCCCACTCTCTATCTCTCTCTCTCGCTCTTTTCCATGCCTGTTTGAACATATCTGAACAAATTATTATATATATGTATGTGTGTGTACCCCCAATCAAAATCAAGCGCTCGCAACGTCTCTTTCGCGATGCGGAGCTCAAGTCCATGGTCTGTGATAGCAGCGATGAAAATACGGATCAGTCCGACTATGAGCTAGATATGGCGGATCGTCTACAGGTATACACCATTATAATGACCAATGGAGCTCCACAGATTTTTACACATTTTATTATTTCATATCATTCGATTTTTGGATACATTCAGATTCACATATGTATGATAATATTTTTAATGAATTTTGAGTTTGTTCCTAAACTTATTTAAATCAAGCGTAAATTTGACTGCCGCTGGCGTTATAAGTACATGCATCTATATTAAGTTAATCTTTATTTTATATCAATTAATTCTCCCTTTTACTAAAATTGCTTGTTTGTAATGTTTATATGTTCTATATACCTATATAGATCTGTTAAGTTCCTGTTCATATTGCTAACACTGTCCCTCAACAATTCAATCCTTAAAATGTTCATCCTTAAATCGAATTATATATTAATTCCATTCATTTGTTTATTCTTTGTATTTATTTATTAATTTATTATTATTTTTTGTTTATTATTATTATTATTGTAATCTTAGTTTTGGATTATATCGTCATCAATTTCTATAGCCCTTTCTCATATCATCTCATTGTCTCTCTGTATATAGGCGGAGACCACCCTAGATGAGACGGATACGTTTGCAGAGCGTGTGAAACGCTTTGATTTGGAATTTACGGGCATGCTTATATCGTTCCTTAAACAAATTAACGATCTGGCCAAAGATAATACCGCCGATCGTTTCATGAATCTCGTGCATCGCATCAACTTCAATGGCTTCTACTCGGAGCAAATGGACA